CTGCTACCACGTCTTCGTATGGAATTCTGTCTCTTACGGTGTGGCGTGCCAACATCAAAGTGACCCTCGGTTGTACGCTCTGCACCTCTCTAAACGCTAATATCTACTGCGGAGCGTCAGGCGATACGACTAATTTATGAAATGTTAACTAATGGTTGATTTATGTGCACAGCTTCCCGGTACCAGATATATTGGTGCACTCTCCGATGCTCGAAGAAGGTATTCATAAGGGACAATTCGTTGTTTGCACAAAACCGCAACAACTTCATGCCGTTATTTTTAAGGTGAAACCTGCCCTTCTTTCCAATCACGCTTCTCTTCTTTTCGGCATCTGCTCCACCATGCGCATTGAAATTGTGCATGAAGATGATGGATTCCATAATCGGCACTTCCTCAACGAAGGACTCATATTTTCCCTGCAAGGTCTCTGCTGTTGTATGTTGTAACTTTAGACGAAGGATTTTTTACTCTCCCGCTGACAGGTTTTTTCAACGATTCTGTAAGCCTGGTTTGGTTGTACCAGAACACCGTGATGATGTCCATACCGGAGTTGCATAGCTTCCACCAGCAAAAGTTGAGAATTCCAGAGCCCTGACGTTTCGCCGACGAGGATCCAGCCACCTTCAGTCGGTACCTTACCGCTTCATCGACTAGCTTCTACTCTTTTTCTCAGGGTGAGGAGATTTTCCGTTTTCCGACTGTGAGCTCACACTGGCAGTATCAGTTCCGTGGAACCTTATATGAGGTACTATGATGGCACTGTACTGTTGGCCTTCTGCATTCACAAAGGGTATCCGCTCAGTTGCTGTTACATCGTCTCGTCATTCTACGGCAGCCGTCGCCATGCTGTTACACGTTACCAGCTGACAAAAGACGAGAATCAGGTTGTGATTTCTAACTTTTCGAAGTGTGCCTCAGTTCCTCAATAGTTGAGCGGTCCTTAGCAACCCGGGCGACGATCGAACCGGTAAAAAATTCCATGAAATCGATACCACGAGCGGAAAATGGCTGTTTTACGTGAGACGTCCCATGGTTCCAAACCATCATCTTTCCTCCTTCGGTCTTGGTACCCACAACAGCGAAGTTATGCGGGCAGGTTTATTAAGATTTTCTCAAGATATATCGATCAGTGATAAAGGTGCTTTAGCCTCCATTTTTATAAATTATTTCTGAGAGCATACCATTATCATCGGCAGCAGCAACACAACTACTGCCACTCTCTAGGAAGGAAGCAGGAGACTGCACTCTCTACCAGCCAGTATAACAAAAATAGTCGTCTTTGCTTTTAAAATGAGGCACTCCTGGCGGATTACATGTAAATGTAAATTAGCGCCACAAACATTGGCTTTGAAAGAACCGTGCTAGCTTTTGTTCCATCTCGGAAGTATAGAGATAACCGATATTTCAGTGGTTACAAAATTTCCGTTTTCGTTCCTTTTTATCATCCTTTTCATCATCATCAGCCTTTCTCGATCAGCCTTAGCGAAAAGACCTGTCCGAAACCTCTTGCCATCAAAGAATAGCTTGCACCTCTTCAAGAAGTTTCTTGAGCTCATCTTAACATGTATGTAGGGCTCTTGCAGTTATTGCTTACTATCTTTTGGAACCCGATCTAATGTCTCCATAGTCCAGTGCTGGTCGATTCTTCTTGCGACATGTCGTGTCAACTGCTATTTCAATTTCTTCTCTCATGTAATGACATCACAGACTCGTGTTTCTGCTCGACCCCATTGGTTCGTCTTTCCTATTTCTTCTTGTTATTGCCAACGTGCAGCTTTCTGTGCTGCGTTGCGTAGTCTGTAGGTTGTGCATGTTTCGCATCCTTATGTTAGCACTGGGAAACTGCACTAATAGAAGACGTTCCGCTTCGAGCACAGGAGCTCTGTCCAGCAAAGAACATCTTCAGACTTCCTAAACTGCTCCATGCCGTTTCTACTGTTCTGTTGATTTCGCAGACGCGGTTTTCCGTTGCCAGAGAAATAAAGGCCAC